TAGGCTGGGCTCCGCGCCCCGAGAGAAAATCACGCAGGCCGTGGCGACAGCTGCGTGGCGTCCTGGCCAGGACACGGCTGCCCTGGCCTCCTGTGATGCACCAAATCCTGGCCTGCGCCCCGCTGCTTGGGCGCACAGGTCGCTACCCAGGGTCCAGAGCACCCGGTGGGCGGCTGCGGCACTTCCAGGAGCCTCCTCCTTCCTCCTCCTCCCTCCCCACACGACCTGAAAGTCCAGTTGAAGGGGGCTGCTGATTTTGTCTCTGGAGAGAAGGCGACCTCGGAAAGGCACCTACTAGAGGGACGATAGGCCCCCTTCCCTCAGAACCGCTTGGGGGTGCTTTGTAACGGACTAGAGGCCCCTGGCCGGGCTCTGCTCCAGGATCCCACAGGCGCTCTGGGGACGAGACTCTGAGAGCTTGGGGCCCAGAGGGCACTTGGGACCTGGGCAGAGTCCACCAGGAGCCCCAGCAGGGGAGCCGTGGACAGCGCCTCCAGGCCTCAGGCAGGCGCTCCTGGGAATCATTGGAAAACCGCTGCAAACTTTCCCCTGCCTTTCGGATCCCAGCAGGCCCTCGGCCCCAGCGAAGGCAAGAGAAACGTGACTTGGTGCAAAGCTCCAGCGCAGGCGCTTGGACACCGGGTGGAGCAGCGTGGAATTGGGTAGTGGGGCGCCCTGTCTGGCCGGGTATTTCCTCTGGTCTTAACCCCCTGCCCCCCCCCCCCCCCCACACACACACATACACTTGGCTGTTAGGAGGGCTGGCAACACTCAGGGTGGCCAGGTGCGGAGTCCACGTGAGGCTGGCCATCCCAGGGCCCGGGCAAGGGTGGTGAGGGAGAGACAGTGGGGAATCGCCCCTGGAAGGTGGCGACTGGTGGCTGAGAGCGGGTGTGGGTTCCCTTTTTGGCCCGATCTGCCCGCCAGCACGTCAGTAACATCCTCTCCCAAGGCGGAGCTGAAAGGAAACACAAACAATATACTGAGCAACCACTTCCCCGACGTTAGAGCGTTCAAGAGTCTTTGCTCTAAAAAGGGGTACAACTGGGGTCTCGGTGGGGACAGGAGGGGCATGTTAGGGTCTTGGATCTGGTGGGGCCCCGCTCAGGGGTCGTCCCTGCCCGCGCTGCCTCCTGCCCGCGCGAGCTCAGCCCACCGCCGGGAAACGCGGGCGGAGAAGCCCAGGAGAAAAGGGATTTAGTTTTAAGCCAGTCTCCCATCGATCAGGTCGGCAATGCTCACCCCTGCCCACTCGCAGACACACTCACCTCTACCCTAAAACATTAAGTTCATTCCCCGAGCCATGATTTTAATCTCCAGGCGGAAACCGAGTCCCTGGACCTCGCCGGATGGCAGGGGGCAGGGACCCCGTGTCTGCTTTCTGCGCGCCCGCGACCTTGTGCCAGGGTGGGATCGCGCGCTCGCTTTCCTCCTCCCTCCCTTCTGCATCGCTTCTGCAACCCTCCTCCCGGGCACCTCGGCGCTCTCTTCCTCCTCCTCCCCCCAAAGTGGCGCGTTCCCCTTCTCTCCCAGGCCGT